ACACATGGATGGGTTGAATACCATTGCCACGAACACATGGATGGGTTGAATACCATTGCCACGAACACATGGATGGGTTGTATACCAGTGCCACGAACACATGAATGGGTTGTATACCATTGCCACGAACACATGGATGGGTTGTATACCAGTGCCACGAACACATGATGGGTTGTATACCATTGCCACGAACACATGGATGGGTTGTATACCATTGCCACGAACACATGGATGGGTTGTATACCATTGCCACGAACACATGGATGGGTTGTATACCATACCATTGCCACAAACACATGGATGGGTTGTATACCATTGCCACAAACACATGGATGGCTTTTGTCATGGATCTTTGTGTTTGTGAATTTTTAGTTGTTACAAAATACTCACTTTGCTTACCATAGCTGGGGCATGATTTATTGCAGCTTACTTCCTTTGTTTTCTAATGATATTAAGTACAAAGGACATACCTGTTTTGGCAAAGCTAAATCCCCAATTTGAGCATGTTTGTACAATCTGAGTGTATGAATAGTTTGCATCAGAGAGGTCTGTCACATACTTTCCAAAAGCGATCAGTTTTTTGTAATTACATCCTGGATCACACATTATATATATTACATCCTGGATCACACATTATATATATTACATCCTGGATCACACATTATATATTACATCCTGGATCACGCATTATATATTACATCCTGGATCACACATTATATATTACATCCTGGATCACACATTATATATTACATCCAATTCCGCAGGACATGTGCACCAGATGAAAGACAATATTTCCTTCTAGCAACTGAAGAAAGATCTTTACCAGTAGAAAATATGAATCACTACTGAGAGGGTTGAGTATGTTGAATTAAAACAATTTTAATATTCAAATCAGCAAATCACATGAAAACCAAAGCTGCCATAAAGTTGTAGAGAAATGGAATATATAAGAAATACATTTTGATATTTTCTAGATAGTGTGATGTATATGATGCATGATCCAGGATGTAATATATAATGTGTGATCCAGGATGTAATATATATATATAATGCGTGATCCAGGATGTAATATATATAATACGTGATCCAGGATGTAATATATAATGCGTGATCCAGGATGTAATATATAATGCATGATCCAGGATGTAATATATAATGTGTGATCCAGGATGTAATGTATATAATGTGTGATCCAGGATGTAATATATATAATGCGTGATCCAGGATGTAATATATAATGCGTGATCCAGGATGTAATATATAATGCGTTAACCAGGATGTAATATATAATGCGTGATCCAGGATGTAATATATAATGTGTCATCCAGGATGTAATTAATTTTTATTCTGTGTTACTACAGTATTCTACTGACTCATGAACAAGCATGCCTTGTTAATTAAAAAGTATTTTGGTTAAAGAACATAAATAATCAAGCCTACCTCTTGCAGTTAGGTTATAATTTTTCTTGTATTTTCAAGGTGAAGAGAAGAACTACAGAGAATCATATATTTATAGTGATAATTTGGACTTGGCTTGGGAACAGGAGAAAACTGATTCTAAAAACTTCTTAGTAAATCATCCGAGGGCTGTGAGTTCTAATATCAATCAGCCAGTGTCAAATGTTAGCAGTCTTTCTTCCAACACATCATCTGGAATCTTATCAGACAAAATTCAGAATCATGAACTAAGCGAAGGTGAGACATTGATAATTGTCTGCATTTTTTGGGGTGCAAATATGTGGACGTTTTTTGTACTATTTTAATAATTTAAAGAAGTTCTTTTTAAATTTAGAAACATTTTTTATATTCTAGTCATGTTATATTGTGTCATTGCTCACGAGGTGGGTTGGTTGGTTATATTTTTAATATCTCTTTTTTTGAGAAATCTACTTTATAAATAACGTTTAATCATAAAGTTACTGATGGGGTCAATACTGGCTTTTAAACACTGTTTTATAGCTATTTATGTGCCAACTTGCATGTGGATGTGTAGTTTTATTGGTTACCCGGTCCCTAATAACAGAGGAGTCACACAAAGAAACTTAAACAAAAAATACCTTCAATGTTTCAATTGATCCTACTGTTTGCTGGGGTCACACTTGTTTTTCATAAATAAATGGGTGATATTACCCCAATCTTTTTTTTGGTCTGTTTCTTACACTGAATGTTGAAACTGGAAGAATGTAAATTTACTCCGTAAGATGCAATATCTGGACTTCACCAGTAGTGAACAACTTAAGAACAAGTTGGTAGTTTGAACATCTTGTAATATTTAACAATTTGTTATTATGACTTCAGTTAATACGAGTCAAAATCACATTAAAAAATTTTAAATTATTTTTGATCCAAAAGCATAAAATGTATCTGTTACCTACAGTTTGATATTCTCAGTAAAACATGTTATTATACAGCTGACTTGGATGTGGATGAAGGGTTTAGGTCACCTCCTAAGGCCTCACTCGAGTCACTGACCACTACTAGCCTTCACAGTTGTAGACTGTCACAAGATTGTTCTGATTCTGAATTAAATACCTCCCCTGAAAGTTACGGTCTAGGTAAGTTTGATAGATATTTTATAGTTGTCTGTAGTGATCAGAAATTAAACGGAAGCTATTTTTTTAGAGACAAATTACCATAGTAAGAAGAAAAACTAGTATATTTTTTTATACTATCAATCATTAAGTGGATGGTAATAAGTTTGTTTTAGAGAAAAGCCACATTGGGTTATCTGCTGTGTCCACCATGAGGAATCAAACCCCATATTTTAGTGTTGTAATTCCGTAAACTTACGGCTATTCCACTGGAGAATGACAGTAAAGTGGTTGTGATATCCTTCCGATACATTTTTGAACACAAGTATGTGGTGAAAAGAACAAAACATATAAGGTTGTAGTTTTATCTCATTGTCCCCAGGTTTGATGGTAAAACAACTGCTTAGCTGGTACTGACAAGTCAGGAACATGTGAGACTTAACACTAATATCATAGTCACTAAACTAGACGTTTAATTTCTCTGATATTACGTGTAACCTACACCGTAGAGAAGATCTGAAATGGGGTTATGTTTATTATCCACATAATAATTGTTAACCATATATTAATGAAATAAATGGCTACCTGAGTGAATTGAAAAACCCAAGTGTTTACTAATGCCTTGTTTAAGACCCTTAACATGCGAATTGGTCAACTAAATATTAGTGCTTTGGTTTTGACCCCTCTAACATTTCCTCGTTTTGGATAGTTTTAGGTCATTCACTTGATTTTTTTATATTTTTTGCTGGGTTCATAGTTGGTAGTTTTTAGAGATTAAAATAAGTTTAAAATTAATTGATTATTATTATTATTTCAAAGAATATTACATTAACATCTTGTACAGTGTTCCCACGTTTCTATTCGGAAACAACAAGAGTTCATTCAAAGTTACCAGCATACTTCTCAAGCTTACCATAAGACAATTTTTGAATTGATAAAAAAAAAAATCCTATCAACAACACTAATAAAATTGCCTTTTAATTACCAGTTTGTTACATTTGTTTAATGCATGTAATGAATCTTTAAATAAAGGATAATCTCACAAGATTGAACACTAGAAAAATCAGTTAAAAATTACTGAAGATATAATTACCTTTAAATATTTTATAAGAGTGCAAATCAATCTAATGTAATTGACTGTAGATTAAAACATATAATGAATTTTGTTTACATCAACAGAGTTGGGAAGTTTCTAGAAGCTTTTATACCCACTTTTCTCAACATATTTTTATAAAGTTACTTGACAAATAGAGAAAATAGTAAAAATAAAGTTAGAATTTTAATCTTGGAATTTTAAAAGTGATTGAAAAGTTATTTCTATATTTTAGTAGTTACATATATTTATATATATATATAAGCTGATAATTTCATGTGGAATGTCACTAAATTTTGGTTTATCTGGATTATTTAAGTTAAATAAAAATTCTGAGGACAGGCATGGTCTATAGTCAGGCAGTAAATTAAACTTCATTCTATCTATAATGTACATTAGTAAATCATAAAATATATTCCTATTATTAAAGATAACATTTTTTCTGTGATTAAACCTTGAACTACAGGACTTAGCATCAGGAGAGCTGTTTAGCATTATGTTCAGGTGTGGTAAGTCTGCAGGCTTATGACACTAAAACTTGGGTTCCGTGTCCCATGATGGACACAGCACAGATAGTCTATTGTGTAGCTTTTCACAAATCATATTTAGTTTAGGTAACAAAGAATGGAGGTTTATATTTTATGTAAGTTTTATTTCTAACTAGTGCTTTGAAAAATATTGGTGAAGTAGTTTCCATATAGGTAGGGTAGATAGAGCTTTTCTTGTAATGTCAGCTACCATGTGTTTGATATAGTGTATATATACTGCACTATGTGGTTACATATTCATGTCAGCTACCATAGATATAATCTGTGTTTGATATAGTGTATATACTGTACTATGTAGTTATAGATTCATGTTAACTACCATAGAAATAATCTGTGTTTGGTATAGTGTATATACTGCACTATGTGGTTACAGATTCATGTCAGCTACCATAGAAATAATCTGTGTTTGATATAGTGTATATACTGCATTATGTGGTTACAGATTCATGTCAGCTACCATAGATATAATCTGTGTTTGATATAGTGTATATATATACTGCAATATGTGGTTACAGATTCATGTCAACTACCATAGAACGAATCTGTGTTTGGTATAGTGTATATACTGCACTATGTGGTTACAGATTCATGTCAGCTACCATAGAAATAATCTGTGTTTGGTATAGTGTATATACTGCACTATGTAGTTACAGATTCATGAAGTTCTTATGTACAAAAATCTTTATCCCAGTTTTACATTTTGTATTCTCTTTAGATTTCTCTCACTCCTGCAATGGAAGCAGAAATAGTTTATCAAATGATGAGAAAATAACAAGACCATGTAGGTCAGAACAAAATGCCGACACTGCACCCCGGCTTATCACCACATCAGCTAACGATCACTGTAACCATAAAACTTCAGGCACTGACAGGGACGATATAGCATCAGGCATTATTACATCTGGTAGTAATCTTAGAAGTCAAGATAGACCAATATCAAAAACTGGTGTATTCTCTCAATTTCTCTCAAACATTCTCCCAAGAATAAAAATGACAGGCAGATCTGAGGAAACTTTTGACTTATCTAAATCTGAACAAAGTGATTGTTCATTGGTTTCAGCTGTGAACACAGAAGTTGTCATGAAAACTTTAAGCAATATGGAAGAAACAAATGAAAGTAAACCATCACTAGGCCAGTCTTTCACTACAAATAATTCAGAGGTGACACTTGTAGGTAGATGTCCAAAAATTGGAGTTTCCTCACTGACATGTAAACAGAAGCAACCTATGACAGTTTTTATGAGTTCTGGTTATGGCATGAGCCCCACCGAGTCAGAACCAAACTTGTACAGTTCACATATGTGGTCTTCTCTTTCACCATCCAGTGATGCATGTTATCACGCTGAAGACTGTCTGAGAAGATACACCAATCAACAGCCTTTGAATGGGTCTATAGAAATAGACAGTGCTAGGATGCATTCTTCCGATATCGAGTTTCCTTTCATTCCTCCTCCACCAGGTTACAGAAACAATAAGGACTCAGAGCATACCCAAAACTGTGAAGAATCTGTACGGAATGGTTCACTAATAGTTTCTCAAGAAAATATTTCAAGCCAGGTACTGTTGATTGAACTATTAAATCACATAACTTAAAAATATTGAGTCAATAAACTAATGGTTTTATTGTTCTTGTATAAAGAGCAAAGTTAGCAGGAGAATTGGGATCTTTGGGTACAAAATTCTCATAATTTTTAAAGTTTAGTAAATAAAACTTTGATCTGAAAAACATAATTTTTTCTTAAACACACTGCTTAAAACAGTTAATAGATATTTGGGGTTTTCTGTATTTTAGTTGTTAAAAGGAACAATTATTATTATAAATAATGTCAATGGTACTCCCGAGTTCAGGTTTATGCAGAATAAGTTTCAGGTAACTGGTTGTATGATCTGATACACACATTTCAGCAATATATAAAAGTGGAGGTACCAACAGTATTCTTAGAACCAGGACTTCAACAAAGACATTTAGACATATTCATTATGGAGAGAACAATGGGTTGGCTAGACTGCTAGAAGTTGGTCAAACACATCTTATTGCAGAGAGGCTGCAAGTGTCAGTAAATATGGATTTGCTACTAAACCTTTGTTAACAAGCCCATCAAGGTTACCAGCATACTTCTCAAGTTTACCACAAGACACTTCTTGAGTTGGATCAAATGCAGAAGAAACGTGTTGATATGGATTTACCTTTCATCAGTGCTTTGTTTAAAGACGGGTCTTTGGTCATGCTTCCCAAAACTGTCCCAACATGTTCCAGACAACTCCACCTGGGAATTGGGAAGGATGTAAGAAGGTTTTCATGTAGTTGTGTGTCTTAATACCAGAAGAGGGTATTGAACAAATGGACTTAGTGAATTTTAATTTGAACAAAGATGCACGTGATGCTCTTAGGAGGTGCTCGGAAACATGTATTTACCTCCAAGCAGTGTTAATGAAGTGGTATAAGCTCTGATGAAGGAGTGGATCATATTACTCTCAGAAGTTCACTTATTTGCTTTTTAAGGTTGTCACATCTATGTTCAACTTGCATTAGAGTTCAAAGTGATCATATATTTTGTTGCCCCCAGTGACACAGTGGTATGTCTGCGGACTTTCAACGCTCTAATCCGGGTTTCGATACCCGTGGTTGGCAGAGCACAGATAGCCCTTTTAGTAGCTTTGTGCTTAACTACAAACAAACAATATATTTTGTTAACAAGCATTTTCTAATTATTTATTCAGCTGCAAAGTCTGTAGTACCAAATGAGTCTCTGTAGACATGGACTGCAATAATAGGCATTTGCACATCAGATCATGCAACTGGTCATCTGAAATGTAAAGAATTCTTACCAGATAAAGATATTTAGTATTGGTAATAAACAAAGTTTGACACTTAATACAGATGTATGACAAGTTGTAATACATACAATCTTTTAATATGTATTTTTAAGTTTTTTTATATTTCCTTGAGTTTTTTTTTTTGTTGTTGTTGAGTACAAAATTGGTAGTTTTCAACTTTAATAAGTAGAATTTTTATAGATTAAAATTATTTTAAAATTAATGGAGTATTATTAGTTTAGAGAATTTCCAAAAATATTACGTTAACATGATTTCTTGTACAGCATTCTCATGTTTGTATTCAGAAACAACAAGAGTTCATTCAAGGTTACCAGCATACTTCTCAAGCTTCCCACAAGACACTTGTTGAGTTGGATCAATTGCAGAAGAAAAGTGTTGATATGGATTTACCTTTCATCAGTGCTTTGTTTAAAGACAGGTCTTTGCTCATGCTTCCCAAAACTGTCCCAACATGTTCCAGACAACGCCACCTGGGAATCGGGAAGGATGTAAGAAGGTTTTCATGTAGTTGTGTGACTTCATTATTCAGAGAAGATAGATGTTTATCGTCTACTGGTAACTTACCTGAACTTTTACAATCAGAATCACGACCAGTTAGCTGGCACTTTGGATCCATGAGTACGTCTTGACCCATGATTTGTGATTCCCTATTGGTTGTTACAGTTGTTAAAGGCAAGACCATTTAGCAACTTTCATATATTTTGAGAACATAACATGTATATTCAGCATATAATTAATATACGAATGAATACTATCATGTAAGCCACATAATATGTAATTATTTCTTGCTGTCTTCTTGAGGAAAATATTGCTGTAATGTCTTCTATCATTGGGTAGGTTCTTTTGTATTATTTGATAAAAATAATGCCAATTTCAGTCACATGTAACTATAAGAAATTAACTTATTTTCTTTAATAACATTTGATATGGGCTACGTTCATTTGTAGACCTAACTTTATAAACAAAATTTTAACAAAAAACTCCAAAAATAATGTATTTCTAACTCACAAATAAACATACTTGCAGAATTTCTTCACTAATCACAAGTCAATAACAAACACACTGAGTAACTTACTAAGTAACTGAATAGATGCAATAAATCTCATTGTCCAAGTCACTGAATGACACTAAATTAAATTAACTCATTCATTAATTAACTGATCACTAAATAATTCACTGATCTGGTGTTTACATTGTACTTTTATTTCAAAATGTTACAGTGTTTCTGGATTCTATTGATGCCTTAACTTTAATGAAATTTCTTGATGCATTGCATCATTGTCATCACGTAATGACATGCTCCATCTAAAAAACAAACATCTAAGTTAAAATATTAAAAATGTTGCCAAAAACACTGCTCCCTACATGGATTGTGAAGTCTCTTGAACAGTCTTAATACACAAAACTGCCCATCCAACAAGTCTTTTGGATAGGTTCCTCTTTCAAGGGTTATGATATATAGATGGGATGACCTTTTGTCTCTTATCATTACTTGCTGTCCTGTCACTAGGGCCATTCTTCCAAGGTAGTGGGTCAAGCAAATGCATGAACAGCTTTATCCTGTGGAAGTTGTCTTGACAGGAACCCTGGGCTCTTTAGCAAGTCTTCTCTTTAAGAACCCAGTTGGCCATTCTCTCACTAATGTACTTCCAGAGATGATCACTGTGGATGATCTTTGGCTTAGACTTTTAGTCCTTGTAGATTCTGTAAACCACATCATTGATTCTCTTCAGTACAACATATATCCCTTCTCAGTATCTGCTTAACTCTGGAGTTCTTACTCTGTTGTTGTAGGGATCGTACAACTATACCATGTCACCCCAATGGAATCCAGCTTTATCAACATTAACATAATAGTGATAAAAAGATAAAATAATGTATGACATCACTGGTGTTCTTTATTATCTCTAATTATTCTA